CTTCCTTCCTTCCTTCCTTCCTTCCTTCCTTCCTTCCTTCCTTCCTTTATGTTTTTGAGACAGGGTCTCTCTCTCTACATAGCCCTAGCTACTCTAGAACTTACTACATAGTTGACCTTGAACTCAAAGAGATTCACCTGCTTTTGCCTTCTCAGTTCTGGGATTAAAGGTTTATACTACTACACCTGGTTATCTTTCAGTTTTCAGTGTTTCATAATTGTGTAAATAACTACTTTGTGCCCCAAAATATGAAAAGCAGAACAACGCCTTAAACCCTATGGCTCCGTTAGCCAGAGGCTACCTTCAGGACACCCAGTCAGCGTCTCTCGGGGGAGGGGTCTGTGTGTCACCCTGCACTGCACTCCCTTGTACGCATGTCTCAGCCCAACCATTCAGCAGTCTGCAGCGAGGGTTTAGCTGCTGCAGCTTCCAGGATATGGTATGCTGTGCTACAGTGCTGGCCTGATGTGGGACACTGTGGCTGTGCCTTCAGCACTGAGCCTCCTCCTCAGGGGTCTTCACTGTGCCTTTCTTGGTCCCAGTGTCTGCAGTGCCTCTTTGGGTGATGATTTGCCCCCCTTTCCAAATCAAATCTTTGAAAGGGAAATTGTTTAGACTCCAAGGGTATGTGAGGTGTCTTCAGAATTGGGGCTGTAAATATCCTGGTAGCTTCTGGAGGCTGTGGACTTGCGGATCATTATTGTTCCATTTTGACCTGGAGGGCCATGAGGGTGACTTGGTTGGGGGCAACAGAGAAGCTGAGCCTGTGTTGCATGCTGGACCCAGAGTTGAGAAGAGAAGCCCCTTAGCTCCAGGGTGGCCTTGGCTGGTTCCCTCATAGAGAAGGCTGCGGGTACCTGTGAATGGACCTGTCTCCTGCATGCCAGGGGAGCAGTGGATTGTGGGTTTGAGTGTTAAGACACTTTCTTCAAGTTCATTTTCCACACTGCCTTTCTGGCAGCTCTCAAGCCATACTGGGTGTTACCAGGAGGTCCTAACTCTAGGTGTTCCTAGCTACTTAGTGTATCAACTAGAAATATCTCTCCCCTCTCCACAAGATGCTATTGATCATGCTTGTATGGTTAGCACCAGGTAAGCTTGGGGTGCATTAGTAAGAAAATACCTCTACCCTCTCAGGGGAAGAACCAATCCTCAGCTTGGCATGCCCCTGTCCCCAGCCTTGTTGGTGGCAGGCCAGCATGGCGGTCCGTTTCATCTTCTGGATTGTAGTCTTGCTCACCTTTCGTCTCTCTCTCCCCCTCACCAGACAGCCCCAGGCCATCCTCTCTTTCTGCCTGTTGCTTTGCCTTGCTATACTCTGTGGTTCCCACTCCTCTGCTCTCCATCAGCTAACACTGGGTCATCCAATTATTGCTCAGCAATCCTAGACTGAGTCTCTCAGCCTGTGGCTCTTACTCCAGGGGAAGGGACTGTTGTCCCTACCCAGCATAGAGAGGCAGATGAGGCAATTGAGGGCTCGAGGAAAGAACCTATGGGAAAAACCCTACATTGCCAGCCTGACATGAGGTGGTACGGCCCAGCTGTAGTTGGTGAAGTCAGGCAGAAAACTCACAGGTCGGAACACTGAGTTGTACTTAGAGTAAGGAGGCCACGAGAGCAGAGCCTTCCTGTGTGAGCCCGTGTGTGGCACCGTCCCACCCACCAGCTTCCTGTGGTTGGGGACTACAGCACTGCACGAGGCTGGGCCCTGTGGAGCAATGAGGCGGTAAGGCTGCTGAGAGTGTGGGCAGTCTGGGCTGGGCATCTCTGCTGCTGTGGCCTTGCTTTCCTGCACGCTTCTCTCCTACCCCACTCCACAAGCCCTGCCTCTCTCATGTGCCAAGTGTGAACATGAGCTGGCCACACAGCCGGCCCTGACGTTTCACCCACTTGGCAGGATGGCTATTTTTGTGCTCTGGGACATAGCTGAGTGGTCACTGTGCTATCCCAAACTCGTGCCAGCTGAGTCCTGTTGCCCTGCTGTGGGAAGAGGCTGCAGACTCCCCCAGCCATCCGAAATCCAGAGCCCAGGGAGAGAAGGAAAGGGGAAGTGCCGGTAAGGAGCCAGGGAGGCCCACGTCCCTGCCTGGGCTGACAGGGCAAAGGTTCCCCTGCTGGAGGTCCTGCTTCCTGCTGGGAAGGGATGGGCAGGACAGGCTCAGAGTGGCTGTGAGGGCACCGACCCTGCTGACCTAGATTCGCTGGTCATTCTCTGAGCAGAAAGAGCCTTGTTGCCCCAAATATAGAAAGCCAGGCTCATCTCTCAACTACAAGAAAGTCGTACCAGTTCCCAGGCAGCCAACCAAGCTGGGTGGCCTGATAGGACACCTTGACCTTGGGGACCTTGGCCTTGGCTGCTGTAGGGTGGAGTTACGAGAAAAAGTTATAGAACAAAACTTGGATTTGGTGCAAAGTTTGGGGGCAGGAGAGAGAAGAGACACATAAGAAGATAAGTGTTGGAGGACGTGGGGTTAGGAACATTCAGGTATGAATTTACGTATTCTTCTCATTGATGAGTTCTTCAGATCAGGCCTTCCTCCTGAAGGGTCCACCTGCTTCTACCGAGATCTCCCAGGGTCAGAAGGCCCGTTCCCTTATACCAGTTAGCCCTTGTAGCCCAACTCTTGTGGCAGTATTTGGTACATTAAAGATAAATGAGGAGGGGTGTTTAGGTGGCAGGTGCTGGGAGTGGCCACCGCCGCAGTACAGGGTGAAGGGGACAGCCTGGAGGTGGGAATGCAGCGCACAGTTGTGATGGGGCTCTGTGACAGCCATAGGCTGCATGTGCTTATAGCAACTGCAGCCTCACCACAGAGAACTGTGCCCCTGCGTTGGTTAGGAATGGCCTTTGTTTCTCTGCATGTGTTTACTCTTAGATACCACTGGCTGGATGAGCATTTTAGAAACATTCTCACCTAAACACATCTACTGAGATTTTCCGAGTTTATATTCAGCCACGGAGCTGAATATTTGACTGATGAGTAGATGACCCCAGTGGGTGAGAGAAAGTGGGACTCTTTCCAGATTCCTGTGGTCACCATTGAGGCCAGGCTTCTTGGTAGCTGCAGGTCCCCAGTGCTAACACTCCACTGCTGTGTGCTGTGTGGAGACCAAGGTGGTTGTTCTGAGACCAGCTTAGTTCGTTGCGTTTGAATCTCTACCTTCCTGAAAATCTAGTTTAAATGTGTGGAGTATGGTGCCAATTTATGCAGCTGTGGCAATGCCCTTGTGTTTGACTAATGTCTGCATAAGGCCTTCAGAGAGCCCCGGAGAGCTGCTCACAGGACAGTGTTCCTGTGGCACCTGGAGAGTCTGGGGTGGGTGGGGACGTTGTGGAGAAAAGCAATAGAGAAGGCGCATGAGACATGGGCACCGTCGGGTCACCCTCCACCTGGCTGAGCTTCTCCTCCTCTCCCCTTGGCAGACATTACCTCTCATCTGATTCTTCCGGTTGGCAGTCCTGGGACCTCAGACTTCTGGTAGGCTGAGGAAAGGCTGCTCATTTACGGGGGCTGGGCTTGGCCGAGGGAAGGAACAACGAGCTCTCCCCATGCCCCGAAAAAGCTAGAATTCAGCTCCACCAGTTTTTGTCACTGGGAGTGCAGCGTGTGTAGTAAAGCGTATGACTGAGAATGGTCACTGTGATGGTTATTATACAGGGAGTGTCCACCCACTTCTCTAAGAGTAATCTGTCATTATCCCGTGCAGTGTGTGTGAGATGACCGATATGTTGTGTGTGTGGAGTGTACTTGTGGCCATTGTGCATTGAATGGCTGTTCATGCATGTGCTATATGTGAGTGTATATACGTGCATGTGTAGTGTACCTGTGTGTCGTATGCATGCATGATTACTGCTCAGTTGTATGCTATTCAGGTTTGTGTGCATGTGTGTGTAAGTGTCCTACATTATGTACATGCGTGCTCTGGAGCATGGTGTTCTGCCCTGGCCTAGGGTGGTGTCCTGTCCTACTGTAAGAAATGCAGCCACGCCTGTGATCCCAGAGGCCTGTCACAGGCCCATTGTGTAGTCATCAGACCTGGAAGCTTTGTGCCTCCCTCTGCTTCCCTTCCCACCATCGCCACTGCTCGGGCCATCCGAAACACCCTGGAGGCCACAAAGATTCTGGAGCTGGGGACTTGGGGTAAGTGAGAGACCTAGGGCTCTTTGCTTCCTTTTTTGCTTGGTGGCACTCCGTCATTAGAGTTGTGTCTACTGCCCCACTGTCCACTTCCTCCCAAGTGCTCATTCACTGCCTTGTCTTCCTGTCTCATTCTATAGAAAACAACCCAGGAGCCATTAGGACTCAGCCTTAATCACCCATCTTGTACTAAAAGCATTCAAGGGGCGCTTTCACTTCCCTCTTGTCCCCCTGACTCCTTCAAGGTGTTCGGAGGGCCTCCAGTCCCTGCCGATCTCTTGTGAGCGGCTCCATAGCCCCTGTGCAGTGGCCAAAGAGTCTACACATAGTTTACCTGCCCTCTTCTTGCTGGGATGGCATACCTGCAGCTCTGGTGGTGATGCTTTCTTTTTCTCTGGTCCAAAGTTATCCCAGCTGGCTTCCCTGGCAAAGCCATGGCTCAGTAGGCCTGGAGCTGGATGAGTGTGGGATGGACTTTGATTTCCTGAGACTTCAGGCTTCTGCTCTGAGGAGTCCTCTGCAGAATAATTCTTTCAGGAAACTGTTGTTGATTTTTTAAAAACTCTTTTGGCTCTTTGAGGGGGGGGTCTGCCACCCAGCTCCCAAATAAATACACAGAGGCTTATTCTTTCTTATGATTTCCTAGCCTTCTCTTGGCTTGTTTCTAACCAGCTTCTCTCTCTCTCTCTCTCTCTCTCTCTCTCTCTCTCTCTCTCTCTCTCAAGATTTATTTTATTTAACGTGTATGGTGCTCTATGCCAGAAGATGGCATCGTATCCCATTATAGATGGCTATAAGTCATCATGTGGTTGCTGAGAATTGAACTCAGGACCTCTGGAAGAGCAGTCAGTGCTCATAACTTCTGAACCATCTCTCTAGCTACTTAGCCAGCTTTTCTTAAATTATCCGGTCTACCTCTTACCTCTGGGCTTTTACCTTTCTATATATTTTTCTTTGCTTCCTACTCCGTGGCTTGCTGTGTAGCTGGGTGGCTGATTCCTGGAGTCCTCCTCTTCTCCTTTTCTTGTTCCTTGATCTTCTCTTCCCAGATATTTTTCCCTCCATCTGCCAGCCCTGTCTATCCCTTTTCCTGCCTTGCTATTGGCTGTTCAGCGTTTATTAGACCAATTAGGTATTTTAGACAGGCAAAGCAACACAGCTTCACAGAGTTAAACAAATGCAACAAAAAAGAATGCAACACATCTTTGCATCATTAAACAAATGTTTCACAGCATAAACAAATGTAACACATCTTAAAAGAATATTCCCCAACAGGAAACCTAATCAACATGGCTTATAAGACAGGGAAGTCTAACTGATGTTTGTCATAGTATGCTTATAGCAGACTGGAGTCACACATTTAGCAGCTAGGGGACCATTGTCTGTATGCTGTATGCTTCACTTGTGTGAATGGTAGATTCAGAGTTATGATGGTCCAGGGTCACAGCTAGAGACTCGTGTGTGTCCTTGCCTCCTGAGTGGGCAGCTGCTGGTGTGACCTCAGGGTATGCAGCAGTGCTGGCAGATTTTGGCTTGTCGTCCTCAGAAACCTCATCATTGGCCATGTTTCTGCACACACATCATTTCACAACCCCAAACCACTGCTGTGCCTTGTATGTCCCTTCCTAGCTCAGAGGGGAAGAGAAGCTAATAGCGGTGTCTACCATCTTTCCTGGGAGAGCAAAACTCTCATCTGGGGACCGACAGATCTCCCTCCCTCCCTCCTTCCCTCTTTCCCTCCTTCCCTCCCTTCCTCCCCCCTACTAGCTAGGACTGGATCGAATATCCTCCAGGGACCCTGTTCCAGGAGGAGAGGAATGCAGCCTTGTGGTTTGGTATTGGGCTGGGGCTCTGTTCTTGGGATCCAGGAGATCTGCTGTACTGGCTATACTCTGTCTCCAGCTGCCAGGTGCTATTGGCTAGCCTCGGGTGATTCTGGGCCCACAAAGCAGAGTTCTATCAGGAATTGGAGGGCTGCTGTGTGACATTTAATTGTACCTTTTAATCCATTAGTCAAGAAAATGTAATGCTACAAGATCCCCATGAACTCAGCCATGGTTTAAAGGTAATTTTTGTTTCTTTTTAAACTTGTCTAAATCCTGTAGAAACATAAGTCCACTGGAGCCTGGAAGGCCAGTGTGAGATGCTGCGTGAGAGCCCTGACATGGCCTGTGGCTGTGCTGTAGCTCAGACCCTGAGGTACAGACCATGGCTGTGGGTTGCCCGCTCAGTACAACACGGGTAGGATTGCACCTTGTTCCTGAAGCCTCAACCTGAGGGTCTGTGTGTGGTGTGGCCAGGCTGAGCTACTGGTGACAGGTTCTGTAGCCGTGGCACCTGTATGCTTGTTCTCGCTCCTTTTCAGTCTCCTGGATCTCTTTCCTGATCGTTTTCTATGAACTGTGGATTCAGTTTGTTCCGAGGTGGCAGGAGCTTTGTCTATTGTAATTAGGCTGCAGTTGTCTTTATAAGCAGCTTATGTGTTGAAATGGCTTATGGTGTGCCTAAGCCATCTAAGACTACACCCACTCCACCGTGGTTATGTGGGTCAGCAGCTTCATCTGGGCTTATCTGGGGGCTCTGGTCACCCTGGAATCGTTCCTCTTCACTGACAGTTACCCCAAGATTGTGGTCTGGTGACCTGGGCTGGGTGGGGCTTATCATCCAATAGACAGACCCAAGCATCCCCATTTAATGGGCAATGGTCAATAGCAGGCTACAGGGTCTCTGAAGGCAATCCTGGGGTTTTAAACACCATTGCTACCCAGGCGACCTGCCTAGGTCCTGGGCCAGGGGTCAGCCCACATCTGAGAAGCAGCAGTGTGGACTGACTCAGAGCATGCTCAGAGAGGTCCCCTGCAGCCTGCTATGTGCGGCCTCACTCAGTTGGATTTTCTGTTGCTCAATGCATTTTACC